TTTCTGACTATCAAAGTATAATGTTTTATTCTTTTAGTTCTTTTCCACTGAAACTTTATGTGTTTTTGATCCCATGTTGTCTCAACGACTCGCATTGGTTCTGGAAATCAGGAAATATAATATATTATATAGTTGTGTCTAAAACACTACCCTTTTTGTATGGCAAAATTGAAACCTTTTAGACTAGGTTTCCTCATTTTTTTATGAGATTCAGCTTTTTTATTTCTACTGATAAAGGTTGAAGCAGGTGTGCTAATGTGAACCCCACAGCCTTGTTCAAAGAGAAAGTGTATGACTATCTTCCTTTTGAGGATATGTAGCTTGTAGACCAGTGGTTCCGACCCTATGGCTCGTGTTCATCTTCCGGGGGCTTTTAGCACTTACGGCCCCCTGTTCATGTTATCCATGTTATAATTAGACTTCCTTCGACCATCATTTGCAGGTCAAATGGCCCAGTAACTAACTAAACTCTTGTTGTTCAGAAGATTTCAAATCCCATTTGGGCAATGAAACTCGTGAAGAATTTTCTTATAGAGGGAAAAATAGGAAAACGAAATTTTTGACTTATATTGAGGCCCCCTTCAACTTCTCTGTGAACCCATCGTAGGGCCACGGGCGCTCGGTTTGGAACCGATGTTGTAGACAGCCGAGTTCAGATTGATTATTTGGATGGACATTTCATACTTTTCAATAATCGGCCCCATACTTTTTAGCGGCATATTTCTGAGTATCTGTTTTAGTTATGTGCGAATGAATGTCGTAAGACTTTAAATTGCCTATTCATCTAAAAAGTTTGAGATCTTGATTGTGCAGAGCCCATTTCTAAGCGAATGTTCGAATGTGCATTCATTAATTAGCAGCTGGTTTAGAGTGCAGCTTGAAACCATGTGTGACCAAATATCTCCATACACGACCAGATTTAGATATATATTTATTTTTCATCATGCAAAAATCGATGTACGAATTGATTAGCATGTAGTTAACGATGAGATAATATATAATATAAAATAACTTCCATTAGGTTCATAGTAGAGCTGAGATCTGAAGCCCGAGCCCGATCGCTGCACGACCCCTATCGCTGACTTTTTTTTAAGTAAATATATGTTTATAAAAATATATACTAAAATTATGGGTGCACACTAAACTAAGGAATACTTGTTATAAAACAAATGACATTTCAAAGAACACATAAATAAAATATGAAATTTCATGTTTGCCTCGGGCTCGGGTCTGCAAATCCAGTCGGGGTCGGGTTTAATACCCACGGGCCTGGGTCGGGCCAAAGCGTATACATAATATAAGCGAGGCAACGCTCAGACAATGGACAGACAATGGATTGTCTTTGAAGACAGGTATACCGGTTCCGAGTTGCTTCCGAAGTTAATTGGCCATTCTAATCGTCATAATTAACCATTTGACAATGGCGTTCCTTATGACGTCACAGATGAAAAGGTGTATTTATTCGTCGAAATTACGGGCCGACCCAACTTTGCTTCAATGGCCGTTTCTATTTTCTGGGTAACAATTTTCGTCTGTCAAGCTCCATAATGCCCTACTGCTCAGCTCCAAGCTGCGCTAGAAGAACAAATGACATTGTAGGATTGTTGAGAAGACATTTTACAGCCTCAAATTGGCGTATCACTATAAAATCTTTGAAAAAATGACCAAAAATGGTTCTACGCTGTGTTCGTGGTCAAATTTAACGCATCAGATATTTTTTTAATCCTAATTGCATTATATATTTAGATAGCATATATCTTAAAGTTTAAAACCCACCCTTCAGTTTCATTCTAGCCCTTATAACAGCAGACTTATTCGATTTGGTACAACAACACGACGAAAATTTCCCATAAGACTCCATTGTTTCGCGTTTTTCAAATATGGCACAATATGGCGTCCATGAACTTGTTTAACATTAGGCAAGTTGGTTGCCGGCCGTTGGGTCGGGCCGGGCTGGAATTTTTGAACCCGATCTTATCTCTAGCTCATAGCAATTGATGAGGGGTCGCGATAGAAATATAGGGAGCATCGAGTCAGCGACAGTAGCAAAAAATATACTTATCTAACCAGTCGAAAAATAGGAATAATTACTCGAGACGGACAAAATCACAACATACCACAGCGCCCTCAAGAGATTAAAGCATAAATAAAGACTATATTGAAAATATTGCTTAATAATAAGACTAAGCATATTCTGAACTAAATTTAGCATCGAAACGACCAAAGCTGTAGGCTTGGTTGAACATAAATTTTGGGAGCCGTTTGTATGCGATTTAAGATGGACTTTTTCTATGTAAATTCACAAAATAGCACGGCAGTCCGGAAAAAAGCGACGTGGACAAAAAATACCGTTATCAACCTAGCACCTCTACCCTGTCTCACGCGGGCAGGATGAAGATATGCATGGGTGGATATACGGAATACTACTGTTACCGCCAATATCTTGAAGTATAATTGTTTCTCCCGCAAGTTGGCGCCATGGACCAGCTTATCGAATGCTTGGTTATTGCACCACAATGACTTTGTGTAAGTGACGTCAAGGGACCGCGCACGCTTCAGGGTTCTGGAAGTTTCTTGCTGATGGCTGTTTTGATGTCGGTCTGAGAGTGTTATTTTAGGATTTATAGTTGATTAATTAGTGAACGACTTAGGCTTGTAGTGTTAGTAAAATGTAGGGTATTTATTTGTAGTGCTAATAATAGTGTATTATTGATATTCCTCACAGTTTTTATTGTAATATTGCTAAGTAATTCAGTCAAGTTATAGTGATTTAATGTTTAAGTTACTGCTTGTCGACCCTTGAGGACCCAACGTCAAGTAAGTTTATACATATAGCTTTGGTTTGTATTTGTTTTCCTGTCAGGCCTTAAAAGTGCACTGTATTGTTTCACTGTATTGGCCATCCGTACACCCTATGTGGGCAGAGTCCGCGCTCCACAATTAAGATTTAATCAAGGCTCTGCGCCAACATAAAGTTTTTTGACGCTTTTACAAATTATTCGTATTCGTCAAAGTTTCAAATTTAAACTTCAAAGGCCTTTACCAGTGGTTATAAAATTATGGCTGAGTCAAATCCAGTTCAATATACTGAAGAAGATGTACAAAGTTTTCAAAATGCACAGGAAATGGTGCTAGAACAAGAATCTGATGATTTAGAACCGTCCCAAGTTTCAATAACACTGTCATCACAAATGAAAGAGCTTGCAGTTGACCCTGAAGTTGTCGCTGCTGAAAAAATATTATCTCCTGTTGGTTCCGGTAGTGGCTCGATACACGACCTTTTCCGAAGATCGTCTGATGTGGATTCGGTTTCCCAAATAGAAAATGAAACAAATAAACAAGGGAAGTCCGTAGCATATTTCAATGCCAAAGATAAGCAAATGAATGTTCTCAAAATGACCACAAGAGCGAAATCAAAATATAGTGCTCAATCACGTGACAGTGTTTCACAAAAATCAAAAGTTTTCAGTATTGAGGGTTCGTTACGATCTCGAAGTATCCGAACTGCGTCATCAGTACGATCTCGAAGTATCCGAACTGCGTCATCAGTAATGTCACGGGTATCCACTTACAGTGACTCTCAAACAAATAAACAAGAGAAGTCCGTAGCATCTTTCAATGCCGAAGATAAGCAAATGAATGTTCTCAAAACCCACAAGAGCGAAATCAAAATATAGTGCTCAATCACGTGACAGTGTTTCACAAAAATCAAAAGTTTTCAGTATTAAGGGTTCGTTACGATCCCGAAGTATCCAGACTGCGTCATCAGTACGATCCCGAAGTATCCGAACTGCGTCATCAGTAATGTCAGGGGTATCCACTTACAGTGTCTCTCAAATCCAAGATATTTACAAAGCAAGAAAAGTAAATCTACAAAAAAAGGTTGAGCTAGAAAAGATTCAACTACAAGACTCCATTTCACAAGAAGAAACGATGTGGAAAGAGAGGATGCGACAAGAAGATGAAGACATGAGAAGGAAATTAGGAGAAATAAAAAGAAAGCGTCAAATTGAAAGGGGAAGTTTCCAAAAACGCAAAGACAGGGAACTAAATGGACTAAAACGTAGAGATCCGCGCACCCAGTTAAAATTGGATGCTGACTTTACAGAAGAGATGGCAGAGAAGGGGTTACCTTTTGACATTCATGCTATTTCCGATACAAATGGAAGTGAACTGTTACTTGGCACCTGTACAAATGTGTCAAATAGTAACGAGATACAGAATTTATCTACACCTGAAATAAGATCTAATTCCCCTGCTAGAATTGAAAATAATATTCAATCTACTGTGCCACCTCAGACCATGTTACCGACTGCAAATCAACCCAGTCACTCGTTGGGGGATGTTTCGCGTTCCGTGCCTGCTATTGGTGAAGATCAAGGTATGTCGGTTTATTCATTCTCCCCTGGTTTTGAAAATTTGTTGTCCACATACTACCAGTGTGCTTGATGTAAATGAATGCATGGCTGTGGCTAGTACTGCATCTCATTATGCTAATAACCATAATGCTAATAATTCAATAACAATTCCTAAACAAATAGATTCTGCTGTGAATCCAGTGAATGTGCTTGCAAATCAAATTACAGCTTATTCGCATGAGTTCATATGCTGCATGCCCTACCTGTACTGCTAGCTCAAGCTATTTTGCTGCTTTTACTACCAGTAATAATGCACCTACCAGTAATTGCATGACTTATTCTTGCACTGATTTTTCTAGCAATTTTAGTTCAAATACAGGTACAATTCAAATTTATAACATGTCGCAGGCAGTCACTGGTGACACCAATAGACTGACAATACCAATTATTAATGAAGAAGCTATTCAAATTAATATACCCCAGCCAGGCCAGTTACCAATACAATCAACACCACAAGTGATTTATGTGCCCCAGCAAGCAACTTTGCCACCAACAGAACCTCCAGTTTTTTCTGGTGATCCTGGTGAATACCATGACTTTTTTGACATTTTTGATACCGTTATTGCTGCAAAAGTGCAGAATGCAAAACAAAGATTTGTTTATCTGTTACAGTACACAAGAGGCACTGCTCGTGCTCATAAAGTTCCAGCATGCTATGATGAGGCATTGAAATTGCTCGCAGAAACTTATGACCATAAATGACAAATTGAACAGGCATGTTTGAATTCTATTATAAAAGGCCCGCAACTTAGAACCAATGACCTGGAAGCTTTAACAATGTTTGCTGCTGAATTAATTGCATGTGAAAATACATTAAAAGGTATTAAAAATAAAAGTCTCTTCTTGATGATCATTGATAAAATATCGTGGAGAATGCCATCAGTTTGGAGGCCAGGTTGGCGAACTTTGGTGGATGATACTCTTCATGTGACAGAAAAGGACTTGAGCTTAGCACATCTCGTGTCATATGTGCGTAAGAGAACGAGGGAATTGTCAAACCTTTCTGATCCTGAACCAAATAATGTCCAAAAACCTAGAGAAATTACAAATAAACCAATGAAACAACACAACTCATATTTTACTACAACTGTCTCCGCTGCTGACAAACCAATTCCTAAATGTTTCAAATGCAGTGGCACTCATTTCCTGAATCAATGTCAAGAGTTTAGGAATATGAAACATGCGGACAGAGAAAGATTAGTGAGGGATTTGAAATTGTGTTTTTCTTGTCTACAAAAAGGTCACTGGTCAAGGCAGTGCAGACGAGAGAACCCATGCAGAGTTCCAAATTGTAAGCGGAAGCATACTACGCTTTTGCACCCCCCAGATAATGTAAATGCGGATGAGCAATCTGAGCAACGTAAGCCTGCTAATGATGCTGCTGTATCAAAAAATACTAATGAAAACAGAGAAGAAAATAAATTTAGTGCGTTTGTGAATTCTGCCAGTGAAGCAAGAGTTTTATTAAACGTAATTCCAGTCAATGTACGTGTGAAGGGACAGAATGATGTCGTGTTAACAAAGGCCTTTTTCGACATTGGCTCAACATGTTCTTTTATAAGTGAAGCACTCATGCAAAGATTGAATGCTATCCCATTTTGATGAATCTGATTTTATTGCATTGGGTCAACTATTTTCTAATAAATGCATCGTTATTGATCCTCTTGGTTTCGGTCAGCCAGTTCTTCAACCTAAGAAAGTTTTGATCCAAGATTTATGTAGGAAGAAATTTGATTGGGACGATCCTATTCCACCGGAATTGAAGAAAGAATGGTCGAAATGGCTTTCTGATTTACCAAAATGAAAGAATTTTAATGTACCGAGATGCTATACACCAAAAGATTTTGGTAAAATAATCGATATACAACTTCATCATTTTTCAGATGCCTCGGAAAAGTCATATGGTGCTGTGTCTTAGATTATAATTACAAATACGTACGGACAAGTTCATTGTGCTATTATAGGTGGAAAAACCAGATTTGTCCCTTTGAATGATTCAACAATATCGCGACTCGAACTTTGTGCAGCAACAATTTCTGCTAAAAATGACGCATTTCTGAAAAAAGAACTCAAACTTCCAATTTCGGCTTCATATTTTTGTACTGACAGTACAACTGTTCTTCGATACCTGGCAAATACAAATAAAGTTTTTAAAAGTTTTGTGGCCAATAGAGTAAACTTGATAAAAGAAATTGAACAATGGCGTTATGTGCCTTTACAACTGAACCCAGCAGATGTTGCCTCAAGGGGGCTCTTAGTTGATGCGTTTTTGAATCGCCAATACTGGAAATCTGGTCCTGATTTTTTGTGGCAGGCTGCTGAGGAATGGCCTTCACAGCCTGACTTTATGAATGTTTGCTCTACGGATAATCTGGAAGTGAAAAAACAAGCGATACAATGTTTTTCAAATACAGCATGTGAAAAATCGGTCATGGATCGTATAATTTCAAAATATTCAGACTGGTTTCGTCTGAAGAAAGCTTTTGTCTGGATATTACGAGGTAAAAATATGTTGTTTCCAAAACTTAATGCAAATGAATTGCCTTCTTACCAGTTTTTTTTTTCTAACCAGTCGCAACAGTTTTTATATTGTAAGACTGAAAAATTAAATTTTTAATTCAACATCTAAAATAGTTTTGCTTGGACGATCAAACAATATTCTGGTTTCGTTTGCTTTCGGGGCGTCCTTATTCATTAATTTATCCTTGTTTTGTCATTCTCGTATCGCCTTCATGCTGATTATGAAGCCAAAATAACTCACGTACGTACTTGAATAATTTAGTGGGTTGTCTACACTCTTTACCTGACCCATTTACATATTTGTTTGTTGTAATAATGAAAAATCAAATAAATGGGGGCATGAAACTTTTGAAACTGTGCACCCGTACAACATGAGCTTGTGAAATAATTGTCTCGAAAATTATTTCAAACATTACAAAATTCTTTCAGATGAAACATAATCTTCATAACGTAATGAAGGTCCAATTATCAATAGCCTAATAATTCGACTTTATTTGTTGCTGCTTCTGTACCAGCTTTAAATTTGAATATTCGAATTTGTCTACCATTTATTTGCTGCTTTGATCAGTGAGGAGAAAGGCCTTTAAAACTGCCGCGGGATTCGAATCTTTGAGTCCACGCAGTCACGCTTCTGGTGGTATTGGTCTTGAACATTTTCTTTACCTGTTTCCTTTTATATATCACTACATTAACAACCAAATCACCCATTAAAACTGGTCCTTAGAATTATCTCGAGTCAGTTTTGAATGCTGCTTATTAACAGCCACAATAAAAATGGATCTGGCATAGTCGCGTTGTGTTTGTGATTTAATACAGTCGTTAATTATACTCGAGTCGTCGATGTGGCTTTTAAAAATGAGGGATATGACTAAAATATTTATTTCATTCATACAATGACCATTTTCATTGCATCGATGTTTTATCAATTGCATATCGACCATTTACGCCAGGGGTGGGCAAAATACGGCCCGCGACGTGATTTTGACCGGCCCGCTGACTGTATCCAACCACACTTTGTATTGTGGTCCGACTCATCATTCCTGAAAGTTGCCGATCGCTCTACTCTCACCGCACTGTCAATGCGAGCAGGTGAAATAAACAATTTTCTTCGTGAACAAACAATTGCGTTAGCACACTTGTTAAACAAACAATATAAGGTCAACGCAAAGAGCGTTGTAAACATTCTCCACTACTGTTATCAGTTATATTTATATTTAGATTCTAGATATAATTAGATTTTAGAAATTAGATTTTATGAGTTTTATCAATCATGGAATTGATACAGAGTGTCGAGCATTTAACACAGATTGGATACCGAAGTAATTATTTTACAAAGGTTGGCAACAAAGCAGTATGTTTACTGTGTGGTCATTAAGTGATGAAACATGTTGCGGTATTAAAAGTGTACAACATTAATCGTCATTATGTGACGAAACATGGAAACTATGGCAATAATTTATCAGCAGTGAAACGGCAAACTAGAGCAACAGAACTGGCAAAAAACTTGCTAGGCAGCAGAATGTATTCGTAAGAGGCCAATACAGCAAACCATTCAGTAATGGCGAGTTTTTCAAAAAGTACATGCTCGATGTAGCTGATCAAGTCTGTCCACAACTAGGGATGGGCCGGGATTCGGATCCGGACTCGGATTCGAGTCGAATCCAGGGATTTTTTGGACTCGCATTTGATTTCGAGTCCACGTCGTTTTTACCGAGTCTATAATCAATCCTGTTTTTACTAATTTACGCTTATGCTTGTACTTTTACCCCTATAAATCTCACTACATACTTTAACTAGTTGAAATTCAAGGTTAGAAAGGTAACAATATCACTCGTGTGTATTATAAACAGTTACAGTGCTAATAAAAACGACGACAGATATCCAGATAATATAACGCAAGTTAAAAACTATTGATAGCTTATAACAATTATTCGCCAGTTGCCTTCAAACTATCTATTCTTTTTGGTATACATGTGGTACACTATATCAGGGCTACTCAACTATTCTCACCAAAGGTTCGTTTGGAAAACTTTAATGTTACTGGGGGTCCGGACATTTCAGAAAATTTATTTCATTAATTAGACGAAACCTCAAATGCAATATTAAATTAAATACAAGAGCAAGAAATGGCTCGCAAATATAGACACAAATCGGTACCAGTGCGACAAACTGTATAGTTGTATATTTGAATTTCATCAAAATCATCTAAAACTATAAAACATGCTAATTCTGCCAAAATAAACAAGCAGATGCGGTCCAAATTAAATGGTCGAAAGGTCCGGATTCGGACCGCGGTCCGCCAGTTGAGTAGCCCTGCACTATAAAATATGTGTTAGCGCAATATTTTTAAGTTTTCGATTCGCGTGAATAAATATGAAACATGCGCAGAATCAACCCAATGAGGAATCTCATCAATACCTCTTTTAAATCGAGTTTATTACGTGCAATCTTTTTTCTAAAAAGGTAGCAATGGAAAGTATGGAGCGTTTTAGAACGTTTACATGAACTACTAAATTGCAAGCATTGTATAGACGACGAGTGGCATCTCTCTACCATTTGCGCACGCGACATAGTAAATTTGAGGCTAGAAAGATCTGGAATTATGGGAAAGCAAAAGCTTTTTATTTTTTATATGGACATGTAAGAATTTCTAAATAGCCGCCCAGAATTGACGCAAGGTGGTGGGCTGGAAATCCAGATAACAGCCAAGGCGCGCATTCACCCACGTTTACGTTTGAAATATGGCCGCCAAAAAAGAAGAAAAATATATTTTTAAATTGTTTCAACAGCTTTCTGCGGAACCATTAGGGAAAAGAATATGAGCTACGACGTATGTTTGTGAGCGTGCAATGCTGTAGTATGGTCAAAAACGTGTTTTTCTACTTTTACATTGTGACGTCCGGACTCGGAGGATTCGAGTCCTTGACCTATTACTCGGATTCGTCGAATTTCTGTAATGCCGGACTCGTCCCATCCCTATCCACAACACAGACAGAAGTTAAAAGACTTTACTTTAAACGCGATTTATAATTTGCTTTTTTGCATTAGCGAATGAATATGTGATTAAGATATTGAATACTATTCATGTAATAATCCGGCCCGTAGAGGACTTCATTTTCCCACATCTGGCCCGCCGAGATGCCCACCCCTGATTTACGCGGTTTCATTTTACATTTATGACACCACAATATGGATGTATGACCAACTAGTACTTGTGTTAGCCGCCATTATTTGTTTTCTCTGGCTGGTTAGAGCCGTGAGACTGCTGAAATTCAGCTTAGTTTACTTTGCGAATGGGAGTCTCGAAGATTAGTGGAGGTTAGCAGCACTCAGATAGGACATGGCTTGTAAGCGAGAGATAGTATAATACAACGTAGCCTGCAGGATTTCGTGAGATCGTCTGCGAGTCTTGGACGACTGTCTGCAGATTTTGAGTCAGTGGGAATCTGCAGATTTTACGTGTTTTTGACGTTATTTTTGAATGACGTTGTCAGGTGGGATTCAGGACAAATTAAAAAATTGTTGATCCACGCCTACATGGTAGAAAAATATATGCTTGCCATCGCACCAAGTTTCTCCGTGTATGTCTGGCTTACGTCATTTTTTCGCGCTCACGTAGACATTACAAGAAAATAAGTTCTGACAAAGGTATATCCAGACGTTCTTTGAAGAACCTTCGCGCCAAGCCCTGGCGAAAGCAGAACCGAATTGACAAAAGAAAAGTAATAATGACCATTTACGAATCATCCGAACCAATTTCGATAAAATGGCTTAATCATATGGCGAACCACGGCCTCTGGGGCCAGTTTACCCGTCTATGTCTGGTATGGTAATAGGTAAGTCTTAGTTATGTATGGCCCCAGCAAATTTACTACATGAACGTTGGTAAACACTTTTGAAGAAAAAATTAGTGTTAATATAAATTTCGAGGTAGGTCTTTTTAGCGTTACTCTAACACGCTTTCGTGAACATTACATGACAATAGGTTCTGGCAAATATCGTCCTGCGAAAGTAGAACCGAATTGGCCGGTGGCCGTTCGCTTACCTGTAGCGAACGGAGACGTGAAAGTGTCATATAAAAA